TTGCCTACTGCAAAACTTGAAAGCAAATTATCTATGGTAATTCAATAATTTGATATCAGGGAAGGAATAATAAGCAAATGGCAATTTGGAATTTGGGTTTTCATGGTGACTTAGATGTCTCCAGTGTCCTGGTTGAGCTTAAGGACTTTGGAGTCTCTAATTTTAAAACCTCATTTCACCATTTGCTATCATGTGACCTGAGGCAAATCACACAGCTTTCCTTTGTCTGCATTTCTCCACTTGTAAATACCAGTAAGAGTATACTGCATGTAATCATGGGGATACTCTTTAGAGTAAATGAAAAGCTATATAATCAAGCACTCAGCAAAGCGTGTGACACATTCTAATTGTGCAAAAAAAAAATTTAAAAAGCTGTCATGTCCACAGCTTCGAGTTACTTCTTGTAACTAAATTCCTAAGACTTCCTAAATGCTTAAGACTAAGTCACAGAGTTTTTGAAGTGTTTTCTAATCAGGTGAATTGTGATTAGACACCTTTTCCTGAGTTTTAAGCTGTGAATTTCATCAGAATGACCTCACATTCTGGCTTTTATTATCTTACCACTGACTCGATGTTCCCTTAAATTTGTTCCTCTCCTTTGTGTTTTCCCGCAGATATTTAAGTAGCTCTGTTGGGGGTAAGATGGAAGGGAAACGTGAAGGAATCTTTAAGGCATCAACGAACAGTCCAAGTTGGCCTCTATTATGAAGTAGGTTGGGCTCTGTTATAGGGATTTAACTTTCACTAGTAGGGAGTTCTTTAAAGGTTTCCCATAAAATTGTAATCAAAATAATCCCATTTATTCTAGTTCTCAGAAAGTGTTCAACATTTAAAACTTTTGGATTTTCTTGACACATTAACTTTTTACATTTTCCTGTACCTTAAAGAATATATCATGCCCATTTTCAAGGGTCTGTGGTGAATTTACATTGTTTTTTTTCTTTCAGATTTCCTTGCTCATTCTGGCACTTTTTTCCCCACAGGGGAACCCATTACAGATGGTTTGGGTAGTACACTCTGAACATTCAGTAGTAGTAAGCCTAAATACTTCATTGGATTTGCTTATTCCCACGCCTGTACTCCTGCTTACATCATACTCAAAAGCAGGGGTTACCGGTTTAACGAAAGCAAGATTCCATCAAAGTTTACAATGCTATCAATCTTGCACCCTAAGTTTCCTAAACAATTTATCACATTACTGCCTGTTTACTTATGATTTGCAGGTCTTGAGAGCCAGACAAGCCTCGCTTCAGATATCACCAACAGCCCAGACTATTCATGTAGATTTGTAAGGTTTCCTTGTACTCAGAAGTCTCTTGAGATAATCACTTCCTCCAAAACCTTTGTATTTCCTAACCTGTTTAGGTTCTCTCTCCATTCCCAAAACCAAGAGTAGTCCTAGATTTTCACTGTAGTCCCTAATTCCTTTGAAGAACCTAAATCTCTTCATTTTCTTCCTACTGCTTCTGCTATATTTCATGCCCTCATGCTAATTGGTCTATCTTTATATACCAACTCCAACTGCTCCTTTCAATCAAGGCTAAACTTGATGTTGTTTTACTGCATGTTTTATCTAACACCAATAATTACTATCCGCAAGGTACATACAAGACACACATGATTATCAAAATGGCAACCAAAGTTATGACACTATCAAAGTTCTGTGATTTTTGCACTGAAGATTCTGAAACTTCTTTGGAGGTTGGTAAGACTAAGAAACGAAAAGAACCTAGGAACTGTCAAATCACAAGTGACAAAATTTTAGTTGGCTATTAAAACCATTCAGGCAAAATGACTATGTATTTCATAAGTTTATTTTCTAACAAAACACATCTAAAAATTTGCTCCTGGTTACCAGAGTTACAGTTCCATTGTTTTATGAAGCCTATTCACTCAACTGACAAAAGTAGCAAAGAATAGTGATTAAGAGCACAGAACAAAGAGTCAGGCTGCTGAGTCTGAAGTCTTTACTGGGCAACTCACTAGTTTCAACTCTGGGTAAGTCACATAACCAATGTCAGAAATCAGTTTCCTCATCTTTAAATATCAGAATCTACCTCTTACAAACATCATAAAGATTAGTATTTTTTGAAGTTCTTATAAAAGTGACTAGCCAATAAGTTCTGCATATCTGACATTTACAAGAGCCAACCAATACACCAAGTACTTAAAAATGGGAGTACAATGATTGGCCAAAACATAAAGTCAACATTATATGCAGTTTATAAGGAAATACAGACACAAGTTAATCATAAAAATATGAATATACAACTGCAAACTGAAATAAGAATTAAAAAGGGATAACAATGTTTAAAAATATTAATACAGCCATGCAATCTCTTTATAGGAGAGGAAACTAAGTAACTCAAATTCAGGGGGGTTTCTCTTTCCCAAACTTAACGACTAATCTTACTTTTATTAGGAAAGTTTTAAAAAGTGATAATTTAACAATCCAATCACTTGAACAGTATCTCTGCTTAGTCAAAAAGGAATGGCCAGTTAAATTATTTTGACACAATCTTTAAGCAATAGAAAACTAAATTTTTAAGGCCGGAAGTTCTATTTCATTTCAATGAATATTAAAAGTGGCCTACCAAATTGACAAACTAAGAAAAGTAATTAATGAGTATTTAATGGAAACATGGTCTTTTAGAAAAACTGTTTTTAGCAAAATAACCGAGAATTTTTCATAACTAAGAATTCTAAAAAAACTTAAAATTAAATAACTATGCAGAAGAAAAGTTTTGCAAAACTGGTATTATAGAACAGTGCCACACATATTAAGCCATGGGCATTTACAATTAACTAAAAAAGGCAAGCCATGTAACACCAGATGAGTGTAAGTTGTAAAATGCCTGGGTAGTAGGGAAGCAGTTGGGGGAGGAAAAAAAAAAACAAACAACCTCCCACCTACCTATCAAGCAATCCAAAGAAATGAAACAGGAAAACCTAAAAACAAGTTGGACTTAACAGTTTGCCTTTCATAACTGAGGCCATGGAATTGTGATATTGGCAAAAAAATAAATACAAAGTAAATACTGAATGTGAATGCCAGCTCAAAATAATTTTCAATGAAACAAGATAAAAAAAGTAACCTGTTAATAATGTTCAAACATAACTTCAAAATATCTAGCTGTTAAAAAAAGTTAAGTTACAGAGTATAAACCCAAATACCCTAAAAGGAACATAAGTCTTCATAAATCAGAGTTTAAAAGTTTACTTATTATGGGTATATGCATGACATAAATTTCAGGTTGGGGAAATGACTGAGATTCTTAAAAAGCAGAGGATGGGGGACAAACAATAACTTAAAGTCCCCTTACAGTATCTGCAAGAACTCTTTAAGATTCTCTTCACTCTGATGGTTCAAGAATTAAAAAAAAAAAATTATAAACAAGCTATACATTAGTACAAATTAAAACTCTGGCATAAAATATAAGTTAGAATAAAATAATAGTCCTTTGCCATTATATAGTTACACCAGTAAGTTGCATCAACATGTAAACATTTGTTGATTCTAATTTATATTTTTAATTATTTATAAATTCCCGGCTTAAATTATTACAAAAAAAGTAGGGCAGGTCACAGGAACTATGCTTCAAGAGTTCCACTAAAAATAGATGATAAAAATTATATGTCCTACTTTAGTTAACAGTATTGTACCAAAGTTAATTTCTTAGTCTTTTAAATGTTCTATTATAAGATTTTAACAAAGGGAGAAGACTAAGATAGGGTATAAAAAACTCTTGTGTTATTGTTCACAACTCTTCTGTAAACCTAAAATTAGGTCAAAACAGGTTAAAAAAAGCTTCAATTGTTAAGATCTTATTTCTTTATATTAGTAAACGTGCTAGGCAAGAAAACCAGCATTCTAGGTTTCCTATGTTGAGTTTGGTTACCAAGTGTGTAATACACCTAGCTTTGTCATGGTAATTACTTTGAATGCTAAAAAAGACAAGGCATATTTACAGAGAAATGACCCAATAAAGCTAACCAGGTATTAACTTTTCTGACAAATTGATACTAAAACATATTCTACCTAATGGTAACTGTGCCCATTTATGTATGAGCCTAAGATATCATTCAAATTTTTATCTGGGCAACACATTTTAAAGGCTCTTAGGAATAAGAAACAAAGTAAGATGGCACTAATGTAACCAGACTAAATACATAAGCTCTCTCTCTCTCTATATATATATATATATTAAATCAGTTCTTTGTAACTAAATCTGGGGTTACAATAATCCACTTGCATAATATTTCAATCACATATAACCTATTAAAATATTGCTTAGGGGAAAACAGTCTCAAGAAGGAAGCATTAAAAAAGTGTACTAATCATTTCCTTTAATTGAGGTAAACATAGATATGTCCCCCAAACAATAAACAAGACTTCATGCCTGTAATAAACCTGGGTTCCCAAATCACGAAACATAGCTTTTATAGTTTTAAACACATGTCAAAGTATTAGACACTTATGCTTTCTATTTGGGTCCAATTTTTACTGCAAAAAAATTTGTCATGGCATTTCACTATCATGAGAAATCTGGCTGACAGATTTTTTTTGTCTGTACTGGTAACAGAGCTAAATCTTTTATAACTACATCTAATAGTTATTTGCTAAGGGTAGTAGAATGATATACATGCTTTATTAACTAAAATAGCACTTTTGTAATTTTTTTCTTTATAAGAAATCCTAAATAATACGAAAACATTCAAGGGGTTTGGGAAATAAACATCCCTTTTATATTCATTCTTAATCTATATAAGCATAACTCCTGAACTACTAAGTTCCGACAGAGTCTGGCCTTCATAAGGATTCTTAATTTTTTTCTTGAGCTCTGTACTGCTTCAAAACGCTATCTATCCTTTAATGGGTCCAATTAGCATAAAAATCAAATTCTGTGTTACTTATGTTTAACATAAAGTAAAAAATCAACACTGTATCATTAGAAACATAAAGTTCTTCATGAAAAGCTTTTTTAAAAAAAACCCTCTAAAATAATTAAGCTATTTTAGTGAACATGTAATAGTTGTCATAAAGCAAATTCATATATTTAGTTTTACAATACCCTATTTCCACACACTTTGAAGTCTACAATTTTATAGCTATAGTTTTCCATCATGGAGGCGAGATGCAAATTTTTTATATGTAACTAATTACAGGTTTTAAGCGAATTTAGTATGTAAATCAGAAAAAATTTAGTGATGACAGCATAAAAAGATATTTAAATAATCAGGAAAGAGATTTCTAACGTTGTTTATCTTATGAAATGGTGAATTTTAACCAAATTAAGCTCTGTGCTCTTGTTTCCTATATTCTTAAATCATACGGCTTAGCAAGTAATGTAAGTTTTGATGTAATTCTAAAATTCAACTAGTTGTAAACAAATCCTAATTTGTTCACCAACGCATATGTTCCCTTTTGCCTTCTTACTACACTGCCTCAGTAAACCTTCCTAAAACAGTAATCGTCCCACATGAAAACAACAACAGAGTCTTATCTCTTTCTTAAATATTTTCAAGTATTACAGAACACAAATCCACGAAAACTGATGAAAAAAATCTGACATTTCATCTTGCTTTACTAATTATGGGATAATACAAGGATTTTTTTTTTAAAAGCCCCTTAATATTTCTCTGCTTAACATAATACTAAGAGATACTGCAAATATGGTTATGAGCTGTTTTCCAGCCCCTTCAAGTAAAGGACACAACTATAGTTCCTATCAGTGAGGAGAAATGAACAATCAGTCTCATGTATCTCAAAAGGAAGATGAGAGGCACATAAAGATAAACTGACTTTGGCTTTTACGAACCTAATGTTGATCCTGAAATGCCAGATTCAGCAACAACACAACAATAAAACAAAAGATTACAGCAGGGGCCCCCATTCAACACATATTCCTAAGAATTCTGAAATAGGTAATAGCTTTTGACCCCTCTCCCACTCAATCTGTTATATCTTCTTTTTGTTTTTCCTGCTTTTTGGCTGCAGGCAGTTCAAGGCTTGCCCACTGCATAGGTTCAGCTTTTCTCATGGTGATCTCAATCTTTGTTGCAGTCATAGTTACATAACTTCGCTTTACATCAATCACCTGAAAAATCAAAAAGAATTACAATAAACCTGGGTGGTTTTATTAGTCTCAGAGAAAAACAGTAGTCTTGCTTATGCTAATAATCCCAAATCCAAACTTTTTTTTTTTTCTTTAGAGGTAGGGCCTTACTCTGTCAACCCAACTACAGTGGCACAATCATAGTGCACTGCTGCAACCTCAAACTCCTGGGCTCAAGGTATTCTTCTGCCTCAGCCTCCAAAATTGCTGTGACTACAGGCATGCAACACTACACCTGGCTGATACTGTATTTTTTTTTTGTACAGATGAGGTTTCACCATATTGCACAGGTTGGGCTAGAAATCCTGGTCTCAAGCAATCCTCCCATCTCCGCCTCCCCAAGCACTAGGATTATAGCATGAGCCACTGCGCCAGGCCCAAATTCAAGCTTCTAAAAGTCATTTTTATACCTAGATTTAAGCTGTTTGGCAAGGTATAATGTTAAGGTAATATCTATACTTTGCATCAATGTTTATGAAAGAACTGACTTTATTCCACAAACAATATTTTAAGGTTTCAGAAAAATTTTTTATGAATCAATACTTACACCCCATAATTTCACATTTTGATGAAATTCCTTTTCTCCTTCAAATACAATGTGCACATTTAGCTAAAAAATAAAAAGTTGATTAACTGATCAAATTCAAACAAAATGACTGGTTATGCTATCAAACATTGATTATAAAAGACACTGAAAAAAATCAAAGTAATTTTAAGAATCGGCCAATTTTTTTATTTTTTCACATGAAAAAACCACTGACAAAAAAAATTGACCTGAATTTTTTTATTACAGTGATGTGGGGTACAAGTAGGGATTAACAACCTAAGTAGGCAGCATGAAGGCAAAGTTTGGACTTCTGACTGGCCCTCACTAATCCTGGTACCTTTTATATTGTCACGTGCCCCTCACCCTTTTCCCTCCCTCCCTACCTCAGCAGTGCCCAGCAACTGCCAATCTGTCCCTAGAGTTCATGTGATTCATGTTCAGGGCCCACTTATGAGAACACGTGATATTCAGTTCTGTTTCTGTGATGGATCACTTAGTATGGTGGTCTTCAACTCCACCCAGTTTGCTGTGAAGTCCATGATTTTGTTCTTCTTTATGGCTATGTAATGCTCCAACTGTGCGTACATACCCCATTTTCTTCATCCAGTTCACTTTCGATGGGCAGCAGGGTCTGTTTCATGTTTCTGCTAATGTGAATAGTGTGGCTAAACATCTGTGTACAGGTATCTTTTTCATAGAATGATTTATGCTCCTCCATGTATACTCCCAATGGGTTGCTGCTCAATTTTTAGTTCTTTTAGGAATCACCACACTGCTTTCTAAAGAGGATGAACTAATTTCTACTCCCACCAACAATGCAGAGGCATTCCCTTTTCTCTGCATGCATACCAGCATGTTAATTTTTGACTTATGAATGATAGCCCTTCTTACTGGAGTTAGGCAGTATCTCATTGTGGTTTTGACTTACATTTCTCTGAAGATTAGTGAGGCTAAGCATTCTTTTCATGAATCTGTTGGCTGCTCATATGTCATCTTTTGAGAAATGACTGCTTATGTTCTTTGCCCACTTTGTAATGGGTTTTTTTGCTTTCAGCTCCTTACAGATCCTGTATGTTAGGCCTTTGACAGATATATAATTGACAAATTTTTTCTATTCTGTGGGTTGCCTCCCCACTCTTGGCTAGTTTTGCTGTGCAAAATCTTTTCAGTTTGATAAGGCCCTAATTATCTCTTACGGCATTCGCTTTTGCGAATTTGATAAAAAATTGGTCAATTACTTCAATGTGCTTTGTTTTTCTTCTAGGATTGAATGTTTTTCTAGGATGGAATGTTTCCTACAGTTCTAGGATTCTTATAAGTTTGAGGTTTTACACTTAGGTCTTTGATGGATTTAGAGTTGATTTTTGTATATGGTGATCGGTAGAGGCGCTGTTTCACTCTTCTGCATGTGGTCAGTCAGTGTTCCCAGCACCATATGCTAAATATGGTCTCCTTTCCACAGTGGTTCTTACTGGTAGCTTTGTTGAGATGAGCTGGTTGAGAGCACCAGTTTTTGCTTTGATAATCTTTGCCCTGTTCCACTAGTCTGTGTGTCTATTCTTATACCAGTTCCAGGCTGCTTTGATTACTGTAGCTTTATAATAAAGTTTAAAGTCTCTGCAAATATGATACCTCCCACTTTGTTCCTTTTGCTAAGGATTGTTTTGGCTATTCACGGTCTTTTTTGTTTCCATATGAATTTCTGTACTGTTTCCAGGTCTGAGAAAAATGATGTTGGTAATTTGATGGGCACTGCATTAAATCTGTAGACTGCCTTGGGTTGGATGGACATCTTGACAACATTAATTCTTCTAATCCATGAGCATGAGATGTTATCCATTTGTTTGTGTCATCCTTGATTTTGTTGAGCAGCATTTCTCATTGTAAGGTCTTTCACTTCTCTAGTTAGGTGGATGCCAAGGTATCTGGGGTGTGTGCGTGTGTGTCTACTGTGAACGGGACTGTGCTTTTTATTTGGTTCTCTGCCTGCCTATTGCAGGTGTATAAGAAATGCAATTGTCTTCTGCACCTTGATTTTTGTACCAAAGTCGTTTATTAGTGTAAGGAGGCTTTTGACAAACTGTTTTTCAAGGTATAGAATAATAACATCCTCTAAGAGGGATAGCTTAACTTTCTCTTTTCCTGTTTGGATACCCCTGATTTTCTTCTCTTGCCTCATTACTCTGGATAGAACTTCCAGCACTATACTAAACAGAAGGGGAAAGAATGGGCATCCTCGTCTTGTTCCTATTCTTATCAGGGAAGATGCTTCCAACATCTGCCTATTGAACAAAATGTTGGCTGTGGGTTTATCATAGATGGCTTACTGTTTTGAGGAATGTTCCTTCTATGTCTAGGTGCTCAAGGGTTTTTATCAAGGGTTGCTAAATTTTGTTGAATACTTTTTCTGCATCTAACAATATGATAATGTGGTTCTGTTTTATATCTGTTAATGTGCTGAGTTACATTTAAGGTCTTAGGTCTTACAAAAGTTGAACCAGCCCTGCATCCCAGGAATGAAGTCCACCTGGTCATGGTAGATGATCCTTGAAGTATATTGTTAAATATGATTCCCTAGAATCTTGTTGAAAATTTTTGCATCTATGTTCACCAAGGAGATTGGTCTGTAATTCTCTTTCCTTGTTGGGTCTTTGCCAGGTTTGGGTATCAATATGATATTAGCTTTATAAAATGAATTGGGGAGAATTCCATCATTCTTCATTGCCTGGGATACTTTCAATAAGATAAGTATCAGCTCCTCTCCTAACCTGAGTCAATCTGGTCAGGAGTTTGTCAATCTTATTCTTTCAAAGAACAAGCTTTTAGTCTTGTTGACCCTTTCTATAATATTTCTTGTCTTCTATATCCTGTTTTACCTTGGTGGCCTGGATCTGGATTCTTCTGCTGAAGTTAGGATTCAGGTGATATTTATGGCCTTTCCAGCTCCCTCAGGTGTGATGTTAAGTGATTTACTTTTTTTTGTTTTAACTTGAAATTTCATACTGAGAACTAAGTACCATATTATTTGATAAATCTTCTACGTTACTATATATCCAGAAGGCTTTAGAAATAAGTCTATTATACAAAGATTATCCTTTATAGTAGAAATTCATGAATGTAATTTATTTTTTCATATGGGAGAGATTATAAAATCCTATCTTAAAATCAGCTGAAGAGCAATATGTTGTAATACATGAATGAACATAAACAATAATATGTAAAGGTATTTTTAGCATACTTACCAATGTACTATTTGCTTCTACTTGACTAAGTTCTGGAAGTGAATTTTTTGCATATACAGAAATGGTGACTTCACCTCCAGTCTGATGCCAATCGTGTCTACAAGGAACAACTTTTTTCCCCTGTAATATAAAAGAAACTAAGTTTAACATTCTGTAATCCACTAAGTACTTTCATCAGTATATTCTTTGAAGACTGAAATGAATAAGATATTTGCTTATTGGGATAAGCCAGACAACACCTTAACCTAATGCATAGGAACCTTACTTAGCCTCTAGAAATCAGAATTTTGGAAGAAAAAGATGATTTTCTATTGTTATTGAATATTGACGTTCCTCTCATGTTAAGAAAATTTTTGGAATTTTTTGATTGATTATGAATGTAACCACCAAATACCAGCAGTATACTGCCATATCAACACATTTTAAAATTATAGACAAATGAATTCAGGAAATTCTGAGACACTACTATTGTAAAAGGTACTATTTACATTTTGGCATAATCACATCAACTGAATTTAAATTACATACATCACTCACATTTTCCCCAATTAACTACTAACTTCAATAACACTTGATATAATTATATTTTAAAAAATAACCCCAAAATACATCATTTCATCAAGGGTTATACACTGAAAGCTTTTTAATGTAATAAACAGTTTTTTTTCCAAACTAAAACTTTCAAACTTTTGAAATGTGAAAAAATATAGACATTTTTTGTTAATGAAATGTTTATAAAAATTTTGTTGTAGAAGCATTATTGTAACTTTGAGGACATAGTTATAATAACCAACCATGTTATTAAAAAGTGGTAACTATAAAATACTCAAATATTGAATAAACTTCTAAATTAATTTAAAATTTGATATATTATAAAATACATTAACAATATTTGACAAAACTTATTTAGCAATAAATTGCATGTCCTCTTACAATTTAATGGGCTTTTGAAAAATTATTTGTATAGCCTCAAGTTTTTTTTTTTTTTTAAAGCGTCCAGGGAAGTAGGAACTGACTTTTTTTTTCTCTTGATATGTTTTCCTGAAGCAAGTAGAGGCATGCAAAAGAATTCCACAGAAACAATCCTGCAATCCTCCACTCTGGCCACTTGATGGAGTTTTTGCACATCCGTAAGTGGTTGAAAAACTGATGGTAAAAAAAAGAATCAGAGGTCTAAACATTTAATAACATCAAATAAATAAAAGTCATTATTTAAAAAGTAGGAACAGGCCAGGGAGTTAAAAAGATAAGATGTTCAAATTTTTTCAGGCTTATGTATTTCACAAAAACCCTCATACCTGCATCAACATACACAATGATTACTTTGCTCAAAAGGCAGTACTGGCAGCTTGACTCAGATTAATTTTACTTTGTAGGCATATTCAAGCTTCACTGTTCAAAATCTGAAAACTTAAATTTTTTTTTAATTTAAAGTCAGAATAATCTCAAATATTTTTTAAATGACTCAGATGAATATAAACTCAGTGTGGTACCTTGAAAAAGTTACTTACAGCATCCTTTTTAGTCCACATGTGCTTCCCTGTTGTACAGCCCTCTTGGGCTAAGAATGTATTAAAATCAGAAGTTTTTCTTCTACAACAGCTCCAGTATTTCATCCTTTAAATTATCACAGAAAAATTACAGAAATAAAATCTCATAACCAATTAAATCCACAAGTAGAGTGACAAATGTGGTTTTTAAAAATGAGTGTACAATTTTAGTATACTAAACAGTAAAAGTGATGTACAGTATATCAGAAAGACTGAAAATTATAAATCAGCTTTTCACTGAGAGATTACACTTCAGTTCCTAACAAAAGGTAACATGATCAAAGATTTCTAATACTCTCACTTCAATAAACCAGTAAAGTGAGAACATGCAAACAAATTAAAAACTAATTATTACACAACCAGTGGTCAGCCCCTAAGTAAGTGACACCCACTATTTACTTAAGATAAATGCAACACAAAATGTATAACACAAAACGTGCAGTTAAACTTCAGGTCTGAGTCCTGAAGAAGATGGAAAACAATTGGGTGATTTTAACACAGTACTTAGTTTCTAAAAACGACAGCATAATACAGACCTCTTGACTGAAGGCTGTATAAAAGTATGGGTCTTCTTGCGATAATGGTGTCTTGGTACCCTAGGGCCAAAAAATCTAAATGCCCCACAATGGGTAGGACGGTCCTTCAAACAAAAAACTGATTTCGTCCAAAGAAAAAGCATTACATTGAAATACAGGGTACAGCAGCAGAGAGTAGACACTCTTACTGTTGTCCTACCCATCATATCCTTTACAACATATCTTCCCTTTAATATATCTGCATTTCCTAATTCATTTAAAAAAAGAAAGAAACACAGAGTACAAGAAAATCATGGGGTTTGACTTACAATGACCACTTAACAAATGTAACCTCATTTCTGCTTTCTCATGACTAAAAAGACAAACTCCACATATCTACATTACTATAAACATTAAAAGGCAATGTAAGTAAAATACCTAATAACAATGCGTAGCAAATAATGTTTTAAGGCATACAAGTTTAACTTTCTAAACTTGACCTTAAAGTATTTAAATAAGTCATGCATAAGTTACCCCTCATGGAAAATAGGTACTCCAGAATGATACACACAGACTTCTTCTAAACTCTGTGGACCTTGATAAGTCTGTAAGAAAAAAAAAAATTAGCTGCATATCTCAGTGATATCTCATACATATTTGCAGTACTGGTGACCTAGAAACTTTGTAGAATACCCAAGAAATAACAATCACCTAGAATATTCATAAATTCATCCCATGACATTCTGTTAAGAAATGAAGAATGATTCCCTTTTGGATCTGGTTAAGTTTTAGCTCCCTGTAAGAAAGGCAAATTAAGATGTTTTCAGTCTTTTGGGTATTAGATTGTATCCAATCATATACAGGTATTTAAATTTACAGAACAATGTTGAAACCTAAGAATCAGCACTCTCAACAGCCTAATTTATGTGTGCAGTAAATTCCATACAGGTATTACCAATTAATATGAGAAATCTAATAAGTAATTCTGAAAATTCTAGAGTGATAGTGATTTCTTATCCCTACAAAGGGTAAAAAGAGCTGCAGACCTATATACATATATCTCCAGGGTTAATCTGAAGATCCGGGCCCATTCATTGCTGCTGTAGGTGAAGGCTCTACAGATGAATTCACAAAAAGTTATGTTAATAAAACACAGTTGTAGCCAGTCGTGTATTTTCTCTCTATTTTTGTATGTATAGCAACTACCTACAAGTACAGAAAACAAAACTGTTTTTATTTTGCACCATACCCAGTCAGTCTCCCAAAGCAAAATCCTACAGGCCCTCTTCAGTTTCTCTTTTCCGTCTACCTATGTGTAGTCTATCATGAAATTTTGTCAATTTGACTTGAAAATATTTATCAGTTGGGCTTGGCGGCTCAGTCTGTAATCCCGTGCTTTGGGAGGCTGAGGTGAGTGGACTGCCTGAGCCTGCGGGTTCGAGACCCGCCCTGGCAGCTTGGTGAGACCTCATCTCTACAATAAATCAAAAAATTAGCCAGGCGTGGTAGCATGCGCCTGTAGTTCCAGCAACTTGGAAGGCTGAGGATCGCCGGAGCCCAGCAGGTCGAGGCTGTGGTGGCCAGGAATGTGCCACTGCACTCCAGTCTGGGTGACAGAGTGAGACTCCAACTCAGAAAAAAAAAATCTATCAATTTAATTTGCTATCCATCCTCATGAACTAGCAGATTTTAGGTTATCAGATTACACTAAACGTTCTAACTCATTTCTTAGCCTTCAATTTCTGTTTTCTAGTATTGAATTACAATTATTTAATTACTATCACCTTCTTGTTTAAAGTACTTTTAATTCATCTACCTCACACCGTATAAAATAATCAGTTCCAGGTGGTTGGCATATTTAAATACGCCTCTATAAGAGAAAATACTCATGACCTTGAAATAAGCAAAGATTTATTTAATAAGATATAGAGACATTAGTCATGAAAAAAAAGACAAAATACAGTTCATTATAATTAAAGAGTCTATCAAAATCAATAAGACAGTGTAAAGGCATCATATCCCTAACTAAGCACGTGTAGCTAAAATATATAAAGAATTCCTATACAGTGGTAAGAAAGACATTATAAAGATACTTTAGTAAAAGATGTTGGACATTTCACAAGAGGATATACAAATGGCTAATAAAGATGCATAAAGATACTCAACCTCACTATCAGGGAAGTACAAATCAAACCATACTACACACATACTAGAATGACTAAAATATAAAAGACTGATATTACAAAATGTTGCCAAAATGTGGGGCAAGCAAACCATCTCGATATGCTGCTGGTAGGAGTCTAAAGTAATACAACCACTTAGGAAAACTATGTGGAAGTATCTGTTAAAGCTGAAGATAGCAGGGCTCGGTGGCTCAGCCTGTAATCCCGCGCCTAGGGAGGCTGAGGTGAGTGAATTGCCTGAACCCGTGGGTTCGAGACTCGCCTGGGCAACTTGGTGAGACCTCATCTCTACAATACATCAAAAAAACCTCATCTCTACAATACATCAAAAAACTAGCCGGGTGTAGTAGCGCGCCTGTAGTTCCAGCTACTTGGAAGGCTGAGGTGGAAGGATCACCGGAGCCCAGTAGGTCGAGGCTGCGGTGGCCGGGAGCGGCCACTGCACTCCAGTCTGGGTGACAGAGTGAGACTCCAACTCAAAAAAAAAAAAAAGGCTGAAGATACACAGGTTGACTATCCTTAATCCAAAAAAAAAAAAAAAAAATCCTAAATGCTTCAAAATCTGAAACTCTTTGAACACTAACATAGCAATCAAAGGAAATGCTTACTGGAGCATTCAGACTTTAGAGTAGTATGCTGAACTAACTTGTAAGTATAATGTAAATATTCCAAAATCTAAAACACTTCTGGTGGTCTCAAGCTTTTCAGATAGAGGACATTCAACCCATAAATACTCTCTAATCAAGTAATTCCATTTCTAGTCATATAAACAATGGAAATGTGTATACATGTGTCCCACAAGCCATGCACAAGATTTTTCATAACATTTTTCAAAATTAAAATACAAATTTTTCTAAAATAAAGTACAATCTAAAGAAAAAAATAATTATGGCACATTCAAACAATAAAAAAATAACAAAATTAAAGCAGTAAAAAAATAAAATTACGCACACCAAAGATAATTAAACAAACATTATTAAAACAAAAGACGACAAATACAAGAAAAGGTACATATTCTATGATTCTTTTTACATTAGGTAAAACTAACCATGTTGACAGAAAAATGTGGTTACTTTTGGGGGAGAGAATAATGAATGGGAAGAGGTATAAGGAACACTCTGCAATGCTGGTGTGTTAACTTTGTAAAAGTTCTATAAACTTCTATCTGTACATCTTTTAACAAATCTTGATGTTATAGACATCGATGAAAAAGATTGGAAATGTCTTTTAATAGTTTCCGTAGCCTGAGGTAAGGTCTAACTTCCCATTACTATTAAAACCTTCTAAGGATATGGCGCACGCCTACTTATCTCCATTAGTCTCAACTCGGCAGCAGCAAATTCTATATCACTATTAACTATTTTCTTTATATTTCTGTTTTCACCTATGCTTGAAATATCCTTTCCCTATCTTTCCAATTTACAAAACATTCATTCTTAAAAACTCATCTGATACCTTCTCCTTCATCTTCCTCCATTGTCTTACCATTTGCACTGCCTTCCCTACTCCAAGAATTACCCTTTATCTACTTCTGCCTCATATACTTGTAAATCCATTTACAGTTTTATGCCTTAGTGATCTGAAACTTAACATGAGAGAAGAATACAAACTTGCCCCTGCCCTATTGTCATCTTCTCAGTATGACACCAATCACCCAAATGTTTTAACCACAAGTTCCCTTTACTTTCAAACCACTAACAAATCCTGCTAATATGGACAAAAGCTCCTTCACTTCCAAATGGGTTATATCCTGATAAACACATTGTCAATTCGAAAAATCTTAAGTTGAACCACTGTAGTCAGGAACCATCTGCACTTCCAAATTGTTTCATTCCACATGTGTTGTTTTGAGCATGAAAGATACAACAAAGAACAAAACAAAACCCTGTTCTCATAAACCTTACAGCAGTAGGGGGAAAAGTTAGATGGTAAAGATAATAAACTAAATATGCAAAATGAGTAATGCAAAGTGGTAAATAAAGGAGAGAGAGGGGAAATGCTGGAGGGCTTGCGGTTTTACACAAGTAGGCAGGAAAGGCCACACTGAGATGTCTGACTGCATTCTACTTTTAATCACTTCCCAACAAATTTCTCTCCAATCCTACTGCCTGGTCTTCCATAATAGCAACCTGCCTGGTTTCTCTTCTTCCAATTCTACTCCTGCTCCAACACCATATACTTGCCATTCATCAGTCAATGAATCTTTTAAGATTTCTCCCTATAACAGGTAAAGGCTTCCCATCATACTTGCCCAAATCTGTCACCATGGCTTCTAAGAATGCCCATAATCTTGCCTTTCTTTCTTACCTGCTGCTTTCACACCTTTATCCAAACTCCACAGACCCTGATATTCCTTGAATAGCCAAGTACTGAAGCCTCTGCTCATGCTGCTCCCTCCCTATCTACAGCATCTTTCTCTAGGTTGACATAATTCATCCACTCCATTATCCAGAGTTCTGATTTAGTATCACCACGTCAAAAAGGACTTTGCAGACAATCTTACTAATAGTTCCCAACCCCAACCACTCTACCTCCTTAGGCTGTTTTATTTTCTTCATATCTACCTGAATTCATAATATTTAATTACCTATTTCTTGTTCTCATACTAGAATTGCAGCTTCATAAGAGATTTTTGCTTTATTTAATACTTTATCTCCAGCCTTTAAAACAATGTCTGGCACATTAAATAAATGCTCAGTAAATGTTGCTTAAATTGGAATTATTTATTTCTATGACTCTATCGTATATGAAGATCCACAGAGAGAGAATCTTTTATCCCTGTTGTAACGCTAGCCCCGTATATAATATATATATAATAGTATATAAAAGGCACGCAAGTATTTGTGGACTGAGTCAGTGAACTACACTCTCTTCAAAATTAAAATTTTACTTCATAACACATAGTACATTTTTAATATATACCTTTGAACACCCTCCATTTTTACATGAAGTTCCTATCTTGATTTCATCATTTTCTTCTTCTAAAACAAAACAAAACAATGAAATTTAAAGGTTAAACTAAAACTTCATGGCAGCAGCATGCTTAAAAAGTAAACTTTCCACAAAACTTTAAAAAATGTATTTATCCCCAAATGATGTATGACACATTTCTATTCCATAATAAAAGGTTACAGCCAATATCTTCATGTTGTAAAAGAAAAATCACAAAAGGGTATTTTCCTCCCATGGTATCAGGTATTGGTGAGAATATTTAATATATTTTATATCAAGCACAAGAAAACATTTTCAATTATTAAGAAATTCAGCTCACTGTTAAAAATAATGAACCATAAAAGAAAAATTAAAATAGCTTCTCATTTTTAGTAAATATATAATGGAACAAACTATATTCATTCTACAGTATTATTGGTAGTCAAAAAACTAAGTTTTTTACTACAACGTGCTGTTTATTCATATTTATACTCAAGAAACTACTGTTTTCTCTTTTGAATGACTGCTTAATTGTTTAGAAAATAATTGCAATAAAACAGAATAAAATCTTACCTTTCTTATCTTCTTCCTTCCCTGATGACAGTTTAAGTTTATCAAGTGCTTGTTTTAGGGAGGCAGATATTTTTAATTCCAAATTTGTCATTGGTTCATCTGGGCTGAAAAATTTTGAAACCTGATCATCATTATTAATGTTCCAAAATATTTCTTTGTTCTCAAAATTACTATCCCTAAAAGCTTCTTTTGGAGAAACCAAATGCTTTGTAAAACAAGTAATCCTTATTAGGAAGTATTTCAGAAATAATTGTTATAATGTATTTAAATTCTGAATTTTAAAAGAAAATATTTTTATAATAAAATAATAAGTCTCAAAAAATTACACCCAAATAATCAGCACACATAATTATTAATCTGTTGCACTACTAAGAAGGGAATAAAGATAAGGAATTCAAGTTTGTTGAAATGCGTAACTCTGAGGAAGGGACCATAAAATGCTGAGTACGTATTAAGTATTAAGTAAATCCATACTCATTTCTACCAGTGGAGATAGTTTCTTTTATATGAATACTAGTATATGGATCAGTAGATTCAGATACAATTGTATGGAAAATCAATTTCAGTAGAGTTTAAAAAATCCTCTTAATATTTTATAATGGTTAGGTGTTGTACACAATTTAAGTCTATTCAAAAACTAAGTATTAAGAATATTTTTTAAATGTAAAAACAAATAAAAATTGTAGATTATTCATTCTATATCCAAAATGAAAAACTGACAAAGGAATCATTTACCATGTACATAAAAACCTATATCCTCATAATCTTTATAGTATCGCCAAATGAATTTAAGGGATTTAATTTCTCTCCCTGTCTCTAAAGTAAAATTATTTGTATTCCATCATTTAAAGAAAATATAAACTCATACTATCATGGTAAACTCTATTCATAAAGAGATTAAGAATGATTGATGACAGTTTTATATTTTTCTGAACAGTCAGCAAGACATGATAGTCTCTCATAATTATGAGTAAGATAGAAAAGTAATAAAATGAGATCATTGTTAAAGAAAGAATGCTAATTAACAAATAAACATCTGAAGTCTCCTAGGATTCTTATCTTGGTCAAATATATTTAAGTAGGAACAACAGAAAAAAATTTGGGAATTCCATGAGTTCATAGCATGAGTAAAAACTTCAACAGGGGCCATACTTGAACCCAAAAATCATCTGTTAAAACACTTTCACACTCAAGTAAAGTATGAAGAGAACTTGGTATTAACAGAAGTACCGAAAATACACACAGGAGAATATAGAGTCCAGTTATCAGAAGATGAGCATGAAGAATCTGTACAATTCTACTGCAAAATAAGCAAAAGCTATTTTAAGACTACTTTAACAGATATGCCACCTAAACCAAATGCATTAAAAATTTACTGATATTAATGAGATTAACAGCTGTTTTCAGGCTTCTAAAAGTAAAAACGAGTGATTAGGGTTCTGAGTTCTTTTTCAATTCAAACTGATTCCATGCCAAAGACAACTCTTTTAAAGAATCGCACCATGCCACACTGAAACGATACAAACCACACACTAAAAATGTGTGACTCCCTCACCTTAATGGTATAAGTACCTGTAACTATGATGGTACAATAAGCAAATATGTACAAAGTTTTACTGTGTGCATGCTCTTAAGTTTAAGAGAAATAAAAAATAAAGGCAAATTTAAGGAAAAAACCAAATGGCTCAAAACTTGGTGGACTACATAAGTAGCTACAAATAGTATTATACTAAATCATAAAAGTAAACACCACAAGCAAAGGATACTATTCAAATAGGACAAAAATATGCAACCGTATACAATATACCTTGGCCTTTTTATTGCTTCTACTGGCTTAGGGGCTTGAATGATGTGTTCCTGAAATTTGGGTTTCAATTCAGATAGTTCTTTCTTCTCAGAAGTCTTGACTTCAGGTTTGACTGGCTCAGGTGGCTTCTCACTATTGTGCCTACCTTTTGTACAGCCCTGTTAGTGAAAGGTATTCATTAAGAGTTAACTATTTCACATGACATGATAGAAATGCTATACCTTTTCATTTCTTTACTGACAAATTGTATTTTCTGTTTTCTCCAGTTTTATTACATTGACTTATTATAAGAAAGTAAAAATAGCCGGCTCAGCCTGTAATCCCAGCATTGGAAGGCCGAGGTGAGTGGATTGCCTGAGCCTGCAGGTTCGAGACCCGCCTGGGCAACTTGGTGAGACCTCATCTCTACAATAAATCAAAATAAGCTGGGTGTGGTAGCACGCTCCTGTAATTCCAGCTACTTGGAAGGCTTAGGCAGAAGAATCGCTGGAGCCAAGCGGGTCGAGGCTGCAGTAGCCGGGAGCAGCCACTGCACTCCAGTCTGAGTGACAGTGTGAGACTCCAACTTAAAAAAAAAAAAAAAAGAAAGTAAAAAATAGGACTCCAAATTTGCTGTATTTGTAAATGAGTTCTTACCTCTAAAGCTCTGAATACATTCTTAACAAAAGGTGCCTTTATAACATCATAAACATCTACTTATTTTTATTCTATTAACCGTTTATTGGCATAAACTTCTTGTTTACAGAAAACAAACTGGAAAATCTCACAAAGAGAATTCTAAAAATTACTTCTAAATAGAAGTCTGCTATTAAAAAGGTCTCGGCTCCACTTCTCTTACTACCTCTGTATGACCTTGAGCAAGATAATATTTTTAAGCCTCAGTTTTCTCATACATAAAATGAAGGCAATGGAGTTTAAGATATTTTTGAGAAAGTTAAATAAAATATGAGAATACCTGGCATATCTGTCAGGTGGAAAACAGTCAACAAACACTAGCTACTTTTATACCACATTCCATTGAGTCATAAATACATTTTAACACTTCTGACATCATATGATTAATGGCATATCAGTTATTTAGCAGTTTGAGTTTTCCTTCTTAGTGGGATATAAAATAATGGTGTAATTCAATAGTATCAAAAATTCTATATAAATTTACTATTCCTAACTTAAAATGCTTTGAATTGTTGTCTACCACATCCTTCTTGCTGTTCTTTCAATACTATTAACAAACTTAAAATAATAAAGGAATAACTAATTTGTTAAAACATTTATCTCCAAAACAGATAAATTCTTTATTTTAGATATTGTGGAAGGGATATGAACTCCATTTTAAAAGGTGCTATCTGCAAGTTGATGAGCACTAGCCAATAGCTATCATGAAATACACTCCTCCAATCTAAAGCTTTTATGTGTACTTTCAGGAAAATAATCTAGGAAAAAAATTCGTACTTACTACAATGCTTAAGAAATCTGAAAAGTCAGTTGTTCTTCTCTTACAGCAAGACCAACCCTATAAAAAATAAAGAGAAAAAAACTTAAAAAAGTATCTGCATGGGAACCACCACTCACTAAAACACTCCACTTGCATTTGTCCCCTTGGATCCTAAAGTAACTTGCGCGCGCGCACACACACACACACACACACACACACACACACACACACAGATTTCAAAGTTTTAGGTTGCACGTGATTCACTCAATCAAGAGATATAATTTTTAGTCTATGAACCAATGTTAAAGTGATTTATGCTATAACCTACTATCAAGGGAAGCACCTTAAAACAGTGAAACAGAAAATGCTTCTGTTTTCAAGAAAAGTACCTGATTTTTTTTTTTTTTTTTGAGAAAGCAGGATTTATTGGGGGGACAGAAAAGCTCCCACAGTTGGAGGGGACCAGAGGGAGCTGTACCCCAGACCTTTTACAATGAGGTACAATCACAGGTTTCTCATGAATCCTGAGACAGGAGCATGTGATCCGGCAGACAAGGCACATGATCAGATTGTTCCTCTGAATAGATGGGGAGAGCTTAGAGCGTATACCTAGGTCCTGAGTGCCCACATGTTATACAGCAAGTCCACATGCTGGGTTAGTCTAGCTGGTTTGGGAGTCTTGTGGGCAGTTTCCTTTTCTGATGGCCCAAATGGAGAACTGCTCCTCCCAGTGGGCATGCAGGTTCTGATTTCTCCTTGTGTTGTGGAATGGCTGGGCCCGCACGTCCTGCTCACAGGTCCAAGAACCAGGACATCCTGCTGGAACCCACTGAGACCCCGACCTGCCATGACGGGGGTCACCGACACTCATTCTTCCACAAATCAACACTTCAGGCCAACACCAGGCCAGCGTCGCAGTTGTCCCTCACGGATTCTGCAGGTCACGTGTGTCGCTCGCGGTTAAAGGCGCCACCCAGGAGTGCGTGTGGCCCCAGTTATGCACGAGCACTGCTCTAGCGCTGCAGCCTGACCCGGCGTCACGCACAAGCGGGCGGGGCTCAAAGGCAGCGCGTCTGATTTTTTTTTTTAAGAATAACATTTATAATTTGCAAAAATACCATATATTTAAAAGATGTGAGGATTAAGGTTCTTAACCTTAAAAATCTATTAGGTTAAAGATAAAAGCTGTAATAACTTAGTTTCTAAACAAAGAGTGTAGTTCAATAATAAGCACTATTTTCAGAACACAGATTCCTTAACATAGAAGCCTAAGCACTGTTAAATCTTTGAAGGTGAAGTGATCTTTTCCATGAGAAACATTAACATATACAAATGGTATTATCTATGATTTTTTAACAAAATATCAAGTGGTTTACAAAAAAATGGCTTTAAATTATAATTTCTAATTCTAACATGCTACAGAGAATAGGGAGACAAAAATGCAGCAGTCTCAAGACTTGGGAAGCCACAAAAACAGATAAGGGGCCAACTTTGTACATATCCACGTAGACCTCACTGTTTTTCAGTATACAGCATAAAAAAATTTGGTGGTGATTTTTTTCTCTCAAAATATGCACTTTTAGGTTCTTTTCCTTTAAAGAAAATGTTAAATATCCTATAATCCAGGCTGGGTACAGTAGCTTATGTCTGTAATTCCAGCATTTTGGGAGTCCGAGGTGGAAGGACCACTTGAGCTCAGGAGTTTGAGACCAACCTGGGCACTGTAGTGAGACCACCTGGACAAAAAATATAAAAATTAGCCAGGTGTGGTGGTTCACATCTGTAGTTGCAGCTACTCAGGAGGCTAAGATTGGAGGATCCCTTGAGTCCAGGAGGTTGAGGCTGCAGTGAGTTAGGATCTTACCATTGCATCCAGCCCAGGCTAAAGAGTGAGACCACATCTCCAAAACAAAAAACAAAAACAACAACAACAAAAATCCTATAATTAAAATTTTCCTTTATTTTGAAATTTAATTCCCTTCTACTCTGGATTGAGATGTACATGAATCAATCACCACAACCTTAAATACAGGGTTTAAACAACATTGTTACTATAATCATCAGAAAAGTATTCTATAAGCTTTACTCTCTTAGACAGAATTATGTCAGACTCCGATACATATATGTAAAACATTATATAGGCCAGCTGTTCCGAATGACAACCGGGATTCTTTACTAGTCCTCAGTACAATGAGGGAAAAAAGGACAAACTTAAGTGTGTGAATATAAAGTTACTAGATGTCTTTTCTTGAGCAGGACTATCTTTCTCTGAATATGCCCCTTGTGATATTAAATATTTTTTGTTAATACAATGTTTAACTTCTTACTTGGTCAAATGGAAAACTTGTGTCCCCTGCACACTATAAACCAGCAGAAAAAAGAAGAGAGCAAAACCTACACTGTCCCTATCGTATACCGAGCACATATTTTCTCTGAAATCTACTGGGCTGTGAAATACAATAATCTTAAAAAGTCTAGGACTCCAAGGAATGTTTATAGAAGAGAGACAATAATACTAAAGTGTAGAGAAGAGAGAAACAAAAATACTTCAAAGTGAAATCACCAAGACTTGGAGTGATTAACAGTAAGGGAAAAAACAGCAATGGACCAAATGACTAGAAAGTCGATAGTATCACTACTAGAAGCAGCAAAGTTGAGAGGCAGACTATTTTTGGAGTAAGAGTTCATGTCAGAAACTGACTTGAGGTTGCCAATGAGACATATAAATGAAAACATGTTGTAAGAATCACTGGCATAAAGGTGACATCTGAGAACACAAACGAATGAACTGAATGAGAAAAAATAGAAAGCCAAAGACTATGGTTAAGAGACAGGAGGCAAATAACACAAGGAAAAGAAATACAGTAAGAAAAATAATGAAAATGGCAGTTCAGGAAAGATAAAATTTTGAAAAAAAAAAAAAGTAAATATTCTCACAGAACCACAGTTTCCACTACCATAAAGATTTGTAAAGAGGAATAAGGTCTTAACTTCCCTTTATTGAATGTTTACTCTGATTTCCTTCCTTAGAACTATTCAGACAAACAAATCTTTGGCTAGTTTTGGTTGTACAACAGTTAAGTGCCAAGAGTCTAACTATTCTCTGGAAGGTATAATGAGGAATTCAAAGAGCATCGACAATATTTAAACACATAAGACTTAAACAGTCTTCAACTGTCATTTTTTTACTGAGAACCAAAGCAATAGTACCTAAAACCATGGTAGCCTCACTGCAGCATTTTCTTTAGATATGTTCAAAGGAAATTCTTCAAATGTATCATATTAACATCATGAATTTCTAAAAGATTACCATCAAAAACTTGGTCAAGCAACATTCCAGCATTATTATTATTCCATTATTCTATTCTCTAATTCTCCAGAACATCAAGAAAGTATAATTGGAAAACTGGTAACATTTCTTTTGAGTAAAAAGACTCTAAACTTATACGTCTGCCCTGAGATTGGCACTAAGTGTTTAAAACAATCTTTCCTAAAATTCAACTGTTCTTTTTGCCCAGCCATGACAGTATTGAGATTCAGTACAACCACTTCTATTTCTGCTAGAAAATAAGAAAAATAGAAGGTGCAGAAATGAGAACTGAAATTGAAATACTGTAATTGTATAACTGGAAAAGACCTTAAGATCACCAACTACTGTCTTCTTTCCTTTTAGTGAAATACATGCTTAAAGCACCCCAAAATGGTCAATAAGAAAAATGTCACAGCTGAGGAAAAAAAGATGAGAAAATAAAGATTTAGTTTACATCTTTCAATTTATTATACAGATATGAAGAAACTGAAATTGGATCTAGTTCCTACCTTTAATGCATCATGAAAGACTGGAACACCTGGGTGGTATGTGCAAGCATCTGGTGAAAAATAAAGAAAAAAAAGTACCACTCTTTAAAAAAATGAAGAGAAATGTATACATCATTATTTCCTTCAGGTGTTAATCTTTAATCCTTTTTCCAAATGCAAGCAATATTGTTCCTTAAAAATGTACTAATGCTTGACTTTGATGCACAGCAAAAAAGTGCATGGTATTAAAATAGTAAAAGTTAAAATTCTAATCAAGAGTATGATGGCCATACATAAAAATACAGAATAATTTAAGGATCATCAACTATATCTTATATTTCTCTAATCTTTGTAGCAAAAAATTTTTATTCTTTTTCTTTTTTGATTCCAAGTCTCACTCTGTCGTCCAGGCTGGAGTGTCACGGCAATACTCAAGGCTACCACAGCCTCAACCTGCTGGGCGCAGGCAACCTTCTGCCTCAGTCTTCCAAGTGGCTGGAACTACAGGCACATGCCACCATGCCCAGCCAATTTTATGATTTATTGTAGAGACAAAGTCTTGCCCAGTTGCCTATGCTGGTCTCGAACTCCTGGCCTCAGGCAATCTTCCCGCCTCAGCCTCCCAAAATGCTAAGTGATTACAGGCATGAGCGACCGTGCCAGACCATCAAATGTTTAGTACCAAAACTTCAAGCCTCAAGATTTTGACTGTCCTCTTTAAAATCTACTTTTACAAAAACACCATCAAACTTATGTTCTTACATGAGCTGAAACACAAAAGTTTCCCAAGAAATTACCTAAAAAGATATTTTAGAAAATCAGGCTCAAAATGGTTTTAAAATGGTTGCAATATCTAATTGCTAATTCAACTTTCCTAGGCAGTAATCAATTCCTAAGTACAAACATCGACCACTAACAAAGAGCTTAAATTCTGCAATCTGCTTTCAGAATTGTCACTAGCTGATTCTGTACTTCCCTCCCCACTACATTATCAATCTTTACTTAACTCTCACGAAAATGGGATTATTATAATTTGCAAAACGGAGTATTATATTTAAAAAAAACAAATAACAGACACATTCATTCCCTTGCTAGATATAGATAACATCATGAGCTTAGAGCAAAGGCGTCAGTTCCACCCCTCTGCAATTTTCTTATAAGGCAATCTCCCTCAATCTTTCAAGCTGGCTTAGTTTTTAAATATCTACAACCAGATTCCTGGTGTTGCCTCAAAATGATTAATTCCTGGTACTTAGAGAACGCTCCCTAACCCATTTAATAGTCAGAACTGCTTCCTTCATTACCCATGTGTCGCATAGACACTATGCTGGCCAGTGTAGTAACAATGTGTTAGGCATTTTCTTGATAGCAATTAAACTCATGTATCAGAAAGATGCTATTAATTAAGGCAGTACTGGAACCAAGGGCTGAAAAAGGAGGCTGGAAGTAGAAATGGATACGCAGTAGGCCATGAAGTTTAGAAAAGAATGGAGTAAATAACAGATTCTGTACTTTTGAATATCGAACTGAAGGTAGTCAGAGGCATTAAACACAAAATGTGGAAACACAGTCAAAGGCATAAGAGGTGGTAGCAGTAGTCAATCTGGGCAGAGTGGCAGCAGGAATAAGTTCATCATAACCACACAACTAGTATGAATACAATTTGCAAATCACTGCTTTCAAAAAAGAGTAATAAGCAGATGGACATTCTTCAGCCTTTATCAGGTTTACCAGTTTTGCTCAAATCAAGAAGCTACAACACAGTAGTGCTGAGGGCTTTCAACAGCGTTTCTGACACTGCCTAAAAATCTCTCTGCCACTAGTAGTTGCTTCAGTCTTCCTCATTTGCATAAATAAAATAGAATAGTTTATAAATTTGCACTTTTTCTAGAATAAAACGCTTAACATATGTAAATTACCAATCATGTCTCCTTTAAACATCCATTTTACTTGTGTTACAATAAAAATATCCTGTCAGCTTAAAAGAAAGTCTAATTTTTATGAACTGAAAAAAGTAACGAGACTAATAAGTCAATAAGCATGGTAACCATGCCACAGCACCAAGAAAGAAAGCATTTAGTGACAATTAATAGATAGTTAAGGTGCTTCCCTTGATAGTAGGTTACAACATAAATCACTTTTAACATTGGTTCATAGACATAGAAAATTTATTTCACTTGATTGGATGAATTACACATAACCTAGAACTTTTATATATATATATAAATATATATATATGCATATATGCAAGTTGCTTCAGAGTTAAAGCGGTGTTCAGAATTAAAGAGGAGTGTTTTAGTGGGTCGTGGTTCCCAAGCACACACTTTTTTAGTTCTTTTGTTGAGTACATGCTTTCTGAATTACTGTATGCCTTCAATTAATTTCCAAATTTCTGGAAGAGTTTATTTGGCAAATTTTGCCTCTGTGTTCCTTTGGAGGTATTTGGGTGGGGGTGCTTGTTTTTATGGACAAACTCATTGCTTTTTGGAAGTGTCTACCCTGCCATTCTGGAAGTTCTACCTCCTTTTTGTAGCTTTTATAAATTACTTTGGAATCTCTTCAGTAATTGTGGCAGCTTGGTGCTGCCATTTTCCTTCCTGTTCCTCACTGCCTCCAAGGAGGTTTAGTGATAAAGAAATACAATGAAAGCTAGGCTCGGTGGCTCAGCCTGTAATCTCGCGTCTTTGGGAGGCTAAGGTGAGCGGATTGCCTGAGCCCGCGGGTTGGAGACCTGCCCGGCAACTTGGCGAAACCTCATCTCTACAATAAAAAAAAAAAAACTAGCCGGGCGTGGTAGCGCACGCCTGTAGTTCCAGCTAACTTGGAAGGCTGAGGCGGAAGGATCGCAAGAGCCCAGCAGGTCGAGGCTGAGATGGCCGAGAGCGGCCACTGCACTCCAGTTTGGGGGACAGAGTGAGACTCCAACTCAAAAAAAAAAAAAGAAAGAAATACATTGAAAAAATGAATTTGAAAATGTTACAGGTAACAAGCAATAAAATCAAAACCACATTCATGGTAAAATTCTTCTAATTATTTGTCACTGCCTAAGGATAAAAGCCTTTTTTCACCATCCTTACAACTGCTTCTCAGGCTGCTTGTGTGGTTTAATCTGTCTACTTTCCCAGTCTCATCTGGCATTCCTTCCTTCTACACTCTAGTTCATCTCAATGACTCTGTACTTCCTTTAATGTTATACTGCCTCCCATCTCATGGTCTAAACTATTCCCTTTAGGGATTCCAACTCCAGATCAGGCAAATTCCAATACCCACTAATTTAACATAATATACTTTCCATTAATAGCACTTAAGGCAATTACCAGAGATTGAATTCACATTTGGGGCATTTGATACATGTCTATCTTTCTCAGGATATTTAAACACAATGACAGTTAAGCACCTTAAAACAGTGAAATAGAAAATGCTTCTGTTTTCAAGCAAAGTACCTCATTTTTTTTTTTTTTTTTTTTGATAAAGCACGATTTATTGAGAGAACAGAAAAGCTCCCACAGTGGAAGGGAACCAGAGGGAGTTGAACCACAGGCCTTTTACAATGAGGTACAATCACGGGTTTCTCATGAATTCTGAGACAGGAGCATGTGATCTAGCAGACAAGGCACATGTTCGGATTGTTCCTCTGAGTAGATGGGGTGAGCTCAGAGGTCTACCTGGGGGCCTGAGTGCCCACATGTTATACAGTAAGTTCACATGCTGGGTTAGTCTAGCTGGTTTGGGAGTCTTGTGGGCGATTTCCTTTTCTGATGGCCAAAATGGAGAACTGCTCCTCCCAGTGGGTGTGCAGGTTCTGATTTCTCCTTGTGTTGTGGAATGGCTGGGCCTGCAGGTCCCGCTCACAGGTCCAAGAACCAGGACATCCCGCTGGAACCCACCGAGACCGCGACCTGCCATGGCGGGGGTCACCGACACTCGCTCTTTCACAAATCAACACTTCAGACCAACACCAGTCCCTCACGGATTCCACAGGCTGCGTGTGTCGCTCGCGGTTAAAGGCGCCACCCAGGAGTGCGTGTGGCCCCAGTTATGCACGAGCACTGCTCTAGCGCTGCAGCCTGACCCGGCGTCACGCACAAGCGGGCGGGGCTCAAAGGCAGCGCGTCTGATTTTTTTTTTAAGAATAACATTTATAATTTGCAAAAATATCATATATTTAAAAGATGTGGGGATTAAGGTACTTAACCTTAAAAATCTATTAGGTTAAAGATAAAAGCTATAATAATTTAGTTTCTTTTTTTTTCTTCTTCTTTTTTTTTTTTTGAGTTGGAGTCTCACTCTGTCGCCTAGACTGGAGTGCAGTG